AGTCAGCCATGGCAAGACACCAAATCCAATTCAGGAGTTCCAATACACACCAAAAGATGGAATCAACCGAAGGCTTCAAAAAAACTTTAAAAACTTCACCCCTTCAGATCCTGAATATTTCTCCTAAGTTGCAGCTCATACCCTTCTCTTTCTTGCCTTAAACAACGAAGATCAAAACCCAGCAAAACTTTGACAATGCTTGAGGAAGTATCTTTGCAGCAACCTTCAACCAAACATCGTTAGTGAAATTAATTAATCCAGGTGTAATGCCTGATCACAAGAAACTGGTAACACAAACTACACAAAATGGGAAAAAATCGAATTACTTCCCCTCCTCCTCCCCCCCCATAAAAAAAAAAAAAAAATATTTTTCACTCTACTGAAACAGTTCATGGGAATCTTAGGAATGAAACTGGGAGAGCAATAAATTGATGTTAAATGGCCAAGCAACCGCAGTAAAGATCATGAAAAATTACAGAGAAGCCTGTTTTAATCATATCACTTTCACAAGCCAATCAATACCTTCTTCCAATAAAGTCAAAAAGTAAAGAAAAAAGAGAACGACAATGAAAAAAAAAACAGCTTACAAAACATCAATTGACACATGTCACAGAATCGGAAATTCTAGTATGCAAAGCAATTACACAACGTCCTTGAAGCTTTAGGTATACAAGAGAACGCGTATGCTGATTTCAATGACTCTTGTTTTTGTAAAACAATTGCATATACGAACATGGATCACCACGACAAAAGAGAAATGACTGCTTCATCAAAGAGTAGAACTGAAAGTTGAAATTACAAGAGCATTTTTAGTTTCTGCAAACTTTAGAAGTTAGCATGTAATCCAAAGGAGAAAAAAAAACAAAAAAAAAAAAAAGAACGCAAAGCGGGGTCAGCCACTGAGCAAAAACTGTGGTAAACAAGCACTGAAAAACCCTTTTCTTTCACGACGAATAAATAAAGTAGGCAGCATTACATAGTCCAATTAAAATAAGTTGTTCATTGACCAATACATTACGTTAGTTTAAAAGCTTAAACGATATCAGATACAGTTGTCTGGAGTTTTTTCCCATCAAAAATTGTCTTGAACTGTTCAGGGATCGGATATTCTTGCTAAAATGAGGGAGCTGTTGAAAGGAAATAAAGAAGCTCTTCTTTAAGATAGAAATCCAAAAAAAAGATCAAAAAAATAAAGAACTTCCAGAAAAAAAAAAAAAAAACTTACAAAATCTCCATCTGCTGACGGAACCAGTATATTCATTGTTGACGATTTACTAGTTATAAATTCTGCATTCAAAGAATCTTTACTCAAATAAACCTGACAACCATCGGTTTTTTGAATTGATATTGTTGGCATTGCACCCAGAGTCTAAATTCAATCACTGTATTCAAGCGCCGCTAATTAAAATGAAAACAATAACATATGAGAAGTAAAACCTCATACAAAAAAGGCTAGGACATTTCAATAAGGACTCAGTCCTCATATTTTCTAAGTAGTAGAATAAAAATAAATAACTGACCTGAACTTGTGCGCTTTGACAGTTAATAATCTCAACCTGAGACAAAAGACTTTCGAAAACAACTGAAGTTTTCTTACAGCCATCCATTGTTATAGAATTCACCTTACCCTTAACCTAAAAAGAGACAATTTTATGCTTCAAAATTAATACAGTGTGTTGATTTCGAAGTCAAAAACTAACTTGAATAACACAGTTTTCGCACTTATATATGTACACAGTCTGCTTCATGTCAGTGATTTCGACAACAATATTCTGTTCATCTTTGTAATACTCCTGAAAAATGAACTACAATATAGCAAGATTCTTCAAATAAAGAAAAATTAGCTCGTGCGTTAGAACTGGCATTTCCACATAAATTTCATCTTCAAGTGAAGAAATTAAAAAAGGTGTAAACTTCTTTTTTATGGCGTCCTACCGAAGATCCACAAGATCAAAGGAAGAAATAAACGAGAACACAAGAGTCGGCGTGGAGGAGAGTACCTCCTCCTATATAAAAACTTTGTTAGAATATGGGTTTTTTGAAAACATTTTTAAGTTCACTATGTAAAGCTCACCAATTATGCTGAAGAGCAAAAGTCTCTCCTAGACGCCACTCAAAAGGCGCAAAAAACTCCAAAAAATTAAAATCACGGTATTTCCGTATGACTTAAGTCCCCATTCTTTTATTCGCTGAAGAACAGCAGTGCGCAACGAAAATGTTTAATATCTTCGAGCAAATATTGGCGAAAACATTATATGAAATAAAAACCCCCTCCTTCCTTAGTAGGAAAAACAGACAACAAAGCAGAAAATGGAGAGCATAAACGGGACAAAAACATATTATATGAATAAGTAACAACAAATCAGCACACCAGAAGTCAACAGAGAAGAGCTATTTCCAGCAGGATAGACAATTATAATAAAATTTAATATCTTTAGTTTTTGAATAAATAAAAACATGTAAAGAACGCTAAGCTTTTTCCAAAAAAAAAAGTTCTGTAATCATCTAAACTCATAAAAAATTTTTCAATAATTTCCGGTTTGGCTTAACTGGACCGTAGAAGCTTCTATTCCACAATTTTATTACGCTGATTGACCTAACTTAACGAAATTCCACTCACCACGTTCCACTGTTTGCCGTTTTCCAACGCAAGCTTGGGAGGTTTATCAACCTCTCTCCGTGCTGAAAAACTTCCCGTCTCCTTCTCTGCCGCAGGATTTTTCTTTAGTGGGCCCTAAAGAAGAAATTCAGAAAGTCTTCGAAAAGAACCGTACAGCAAAAAGAAAAATAAGAACCTAAACGACACAAAAATTACGCAGCTACCTGAGCTCTTAACGCAGGGTTTTTATGCGTTTGCATATCTTTAGTGACTTTCTTGAGACCTTTAGTTATGTCTTCGCCTTTATTTATTTCGGCAAAAAGAGCTGATCTACTATCAGCACTTCCTTCGTTCTTCGGACTGTCAAACTTCAAAAGGTCTGTAATTGAAATGTGTTAAAACATACGAGGATATATGCTAGCTACAAAATTAGTGGTAGTAAAATAGCAGAGTATAAAGTTAAATCAATCAGCTAATATCTCCTCGCTCCTTGTAAATATCAAAAACGAGAACACACGACAAAGAAAACAGACTTTTGGAGTCGCTAGACATTAAAGAATACGCATAAAATACAAAAAAACAGCCGACAGGCAAAACACACTTGGAGGAATTACAGGAGGTGGTGGAGGAACAGTTGCACTTTGCGGTGAACTTCCAGTTTTTTCAGCGGCATCTGAGTTAGGACACAAAGCTCCCTGTAAAAAACATTTGTCAGAAACAAATAACCGTTCCTCACAAACGGAAAAGATTCCCTCTTTAAATAGAATCCCTCCCGCACTAGATTTTGTGAAAAACAGCTCAAAACCTCGCTCTTTCAGGAAACTACTCTTAGATTATGACCAAAACCTTACAACTAATACGTCTGAAATTACACCATTAAGTTAACGATACAAAAATCACGCAACCACCTAAGCTCTTAACGCAGGGTTTAAAAACCCAAAAAATTTACCGGAGATGAATTCCAAACCAAACCAGTTGTATGGACTTGACGGATGTACTTTTCCAGCACTGTAAGTAACTCTACCCAAGACTTAGCCCACTGTGTATGCACCTAAAACTACAACAAAGCCAACAAACAGGGTCCGCTAAATTCAAAGCGCTTTTAAAACCAATTAAAAAATAGGCCTCATAAAAATGTAAAAATACTGACTTTGTCGCCATCCTTATAATCTTTATACACACGGTTTACATAGTACATCGCCGCATCACGCATTTGCGCGACAAACGGACCAGGAGTCGGTTTCTAAAAGTAAAAAAATTGCTACATACACCATAAATGCGACTAGAAGACTACATAATGGCAATTACGGTATCTCTAAACTGATGCGCTTCTACGGCAAGTAAAAATTAATCTTCACAGTACCATTTTCACTTGATTTAAAGATCTACGGCATAAGCGACTGACTCAGTGGCTTAAGATGAAAGAACAGATAACCGACCACTGTAAGCCATCCTACGGCGGGGAGGCCATCAGAAAGAGCAGAAAGATGATTAAAGAAGGGTGAAGTACGTTTTGACGAAGCTAATGCATTCATTTTTTCAACTTCCTGGCTTAATTGGCTCGTTTTGGCACTCATTTCATCAGGATTCAGTTCCACCTGACCGCTGGCATTCCAAATAAACTTCCTCATTTCTGTAAAAGCACATTTGACAACCTCTCCCTGAAAATATAACAAATACTTTTCACCCAGTTTAATTATGAATCTTGTTAAACCAAAAAAGAACACATCTTCTCAGTAGATAAAACTTAAACTGAAGTGCTTACCGCATCTTTAACATCGCCACCGACTTCCCCACTCAATTTAACGAATTCATTTAAGGCTGCTCCAACTGTTTCATCATACTGGCTTATTGAATGAGGTACATCGTGGACTAAACAGGATATTTGAAAAATACTCTACAATGTTCACTATTTTGTTTACAAACAGTTTTTTGAACCTAACTGCAGAAGAAGGAACTTTTGTGAAAAATAACAATTAATAAAAAAGACAAAAAACCTGGTTTAAATTAGCCATTTCGTGCAATTTTTAGGTACAATTTTGTTATTTCCTGTGCACTTCAAAATTTTAAAATTTGTTGCGGGTCCGAAGCAAGAAGACTCAGGAAAGAAATAAAAGAATACATCTTCCCAACTGTA